CACTGAAGTGAAGTCAATGCAGATCCTTTCCATTTCGACGTGGATATTATCAAGCAAGACTCACTTGAAGATATTACTTCAACATGGTTGTGAATTCGCTCCCACAGGTGTGAGTTTGCACAGGAGAGCCCAGCAGCGGTTACCTGTTCCTATGGTGATCCTGCCCTTTATGAAACATGGAGATCTCCACACATTTCTTCTCATGTCACGTCTCGGAGATGAACCATTTGTACGTTTTTCCTGTCACTTCCTCGCACACACACATGCAGCAACTGTACATCAGATTTATTTGGTCTATTTCTCCTTGTAAATGTTTGTTCATGTCTCTTGTGTTTTTTTGTAGACCCTCTCTCAGCAGATGCTTATCCAGTTCATGCTGGATATTGCTCGAGGGATGGAGTATCTGAGCAACAAAAACATCATCCATAGGGATTTGGCTGCTCGTAACTGCATGTGAGTTTTTTTTAAAGGGATACTTCAGGATTTAGCACTAAGCTTTGCATTAGTAGGAAACCTGTAGTATTTTCGAATTACCATGCTTTCCACCCTCATATCCCCCTGAGACGAGAGATTTATGTATTTTTTTGTCTGAAAATCGTCATTTTGCATCATCGGACGATTTTTTGGCCAGAAGCTAAAGACTACAGTCAGTAGTAGAGGCTGTCCCGCATGTTCTCAACCCGCCCATAGAGGGGGAGATCTCACTCACAAAATGTACACATAGTGTCAGCCATTTTTTTTGGAAGCTAAGCTAGCAGGCTCTTGTTCTGTGGAGAAAGTGGAGTACTAGGGGTTACCATCCTCTTTTTCTCGGAAGTCTGGCAGTCGATGTCCGGGATTCAGCTTTTGCTTTCTGCAGTCGCCATTCATTGTTTACATGTACAGCTTTTGTTTCAATATAACTGAATTCATTGCGATTGGTGAATCTGAATGTAGTGTTTACATGAACGCTAAACAAGTGATCGGTTGATGTGTGTTTTAACATTGCTAAGAAAATTCCCGCTCCTCCGTGAGAGATACGAGACCGGTGCGTCTCACGGCCGCTCATTGGTAATCACGCCACCAGCCTCGCGCCGTTCTCCCGCGACCCTCACTCGTCCTTCTCATCACAGTAAACATAATGAATGGCGACTGTAGAACGCAAAAGCCGAATCCCGGACATTTCGGGCGATCTCGAAACACTTTTTCGGGCAGACTCCTCACGGAGACTCACTAGTAGCCTAGACTTGTTGTTTAACCACTGCTCTCTGTTACCGGTAGGCGTGGCCTCCTAGGGCAGCGAAGCAAGTGCATTCTGGGAGATGTTGTTTTTCATCAACATAAGCCAAAAATACATTTTCTGTCTTTTCTCAGTCTAGAAAGCTCCAAATTCAAAAATAATTTCACATTCCTTCTACATAAAAGATCCATTTTAAATACACATCCATCTTTCCAGAGGTGAAGTATTCCTTTAAGTCAGTTCTATGTAAAAGGAACATGATTTACTGATCATACCTTTTATGTTCCCCTCAAATGAATCTTTAATTTTAGGTTGAATGAAAATATGAGCGTGTGTGTAGCAGATTTTGGTCTCTCCAAGAAAATCTACAGCGGCGACTACTATAGACAAGGGTCTGTCTCTAAGTTGCCTGTGAAGTGGATCGCTTTGGAAAGCCTGGCTGACAATGTCTACACAACACAGAGTGATGTGGTAATAAACACTATTTGCCTCATACATGATTTCTTTAATATTACTAGGTGAGATGATGTATTGTACTGTAAGTAATGTATAATGTACAATTATCTTATCATTGCTGCAGAATAAGCCCTGATAGGGTGAGCCAGACCCCAATGGGAAACAACATGGCTATTTACTTGATAAATAAATGAATATGATATTTATTTAAATTGAAATAATTGTATTATGAGAGATGGACAAGACCACATTGTTAAATGAGAGATACAAAACTATCACAGATATGTAGAAAACAACAATTTCTTGAAATCGGGACAGTCAGTTATACAGTTTAGTAGTCATTATATAAAAATATTTGACTATAAAAGGATCAAACAGAATCCTAGTAACCCAGAGAGTCATGTAATAATGTACTACGTTAAAATCACACAATTTCTGAAAACAGAAATGCTCGTATTTTCTTTACTGGGTTTAAAACATAGCCCTTCACTGTTACTGTTCCTGGTACTGTTCTGATGGGCTGTTATTTTTTAGTGGGCATTTGGTGTGACCATGTGGGAGATCATGACTAGAGGTCAAACGCCTTACCCAGGGGTGGAGAACTCAGAAATCTACGAGTATCTTATCAAAGGAGAAAGACTCAAGCAGCCTCCGGATTGCCCTGGTGACGTGTAAGTTTTAATTGTTGATTTTATTATATAATATACAATTTCTTAAACACATTCATTTGGAAAAAAAGTCATCTGTTTGGTCAAAGTCTGCATTTATTTCGAAAATTCAGTAAATGTAGAAAAGACGGTAATATTATTAAAAACTATTATAATTTGAAAACTTTTCTATTTTAATACAGTAGTCAAAAGTGTAAAAAAAAAATGTTTTTGAAATAAGTCTCTTCTGCTCACCAAGGCTGCATTTATTTGTTCAATAATACAGTAGAACAGTAGTATTCCAAAAATATTATTACAACTTACAAATTTTCTATTTTAGTTTAAAATTTGTATTTATTCCTGTGATTCTAAAGCTGAATTTTCAGCATCATTACTCCAGTCTTCAGTGTCACATGATCCTTCAGATATTATATTTTTATGCTAATTTGCTGCTCAGGTTTACATTTCTTCTTATTAAATATGTTAAGCAGTGAAATATTATTATCAGTGTTGGAAACTGGCCGCCTAATATTTTTGTGGAAATGGTGATATTTTTTTCATGATTTTTGGATAAATAGAAAGTTAAATGAACAGCATTTATTTAATTAAATTTACTAAAGCATAATTAAATAGATATCCTTTATAGCATTATAAATGTTTTCACTGTCAATTTTCATCAGTATAATGCATGCTTGATTAAAAATAAGTATCCATTTATTTTCTTTTTTAATCTTACCACTAATTTTTGAGGGATATCATTGTTTCCACAAAAATGTTAAGCAGCAAAAACTGATTTTGAAATTCATAAAAATAATAATGTTTCTTGAGCAGCAAATCAGCATATTAGAATGATTTCTGAAGGATCATGTGACACTGAAGACTGAAGGATTGATTCAGCTTTGCATCACAGGAACAAATTACATTTTCAAATGTATTAAAATTAGAAAAAAAATTGACAGCTACTGTAAAGCAGAATTTTCAGCATAATTTCTCAGCAAAGTCTTCAGTGTCACATGGTCCTTCAGAAATCATTCTAATATGCTAACTTGGGGCGTAAAAACATTTCTTATTACTATAAATGTTGAAAACGAAAATGTTTTTGCTGCTGTGAAAAAAACGTAATACATTTCTGTCAAGATTCTTTGATGATAATAATAGAAAGTTCAAAAGAACAGTATTTATTGGAAATAAAAATCTTTTGTAATGTCTTTTACTGTCAGTTTTTATCAATTTTAATGCATCCTTCATGAATAATATATATATATATGTGTGTGTGTGTGTGTGTCTTACTGACCACAAAAGTTTGAACAGTAGTGCATTTAATACTAAAGTTGCAGAACTCTCATTTGATTGCAGCCGTTTTAGAGATTCATTCTGCTATTGTCCGTATTTTCTCACTTCCAGTTATGAAATCATGCACAGCTGTTGGTCTCCTGTCCCAAAGTGCCGTCCTAGTTTCCAACACCTCATTGACCAGTTGGAGCTCTTGTGGGCGAAGCTGAATCCAGCTCCTGTAAAAGAGCCGTTGCTGTATGTGAACCTGGAGGAAGAGGATGGAGAACAGGCCTCTGCCCCGGGCGCAGATGTCGGGACCCGTAGTATTGAGGATCCCTCTTGGGGAGTACCGTGGCAGTGTGCAGGAATAGAGGAAGACGAAAAGGACTGGCTAATGGTGTCATCGGGAGCAGCTTTTGCTATTGGTGGAGACTACAGATACATCATCGGCCCACGCGGTGGCGGTATTGATGAAGAGAGCAGGCGCTCTGATGATGGCCTGTCGGAGGATATCAGGGACGAGGAAGAGGACATCATCATTAATGTGTGATCCCCCCCCCCACCCCCCCCATGCTCCAGGAATAATACTTAACACGAAGAACTGTTATCCATGCTAACTGTTGAGGCGTGACGTGGACGTACAATCAGCTGCTAATACTTTTAGAAACATGATTTGACATGTTTATTTCAATGGTAATTATTAAATATGACTGTAGCAAAGCCAGTGTTTCAACAAATGCCATTTTTAGAGTCATATCTGTGATTTATGAAGTGTAAATTGTTATTGTTAATCCTCGTGCATATATATGTCTTTGCTGGTATATTTCCGGCATTATTTGTGTTTTGTATGTGTGAGTGAAGTGTCAATCACGTCCTGAGACTCACTTATGTGGTGCCTTTTGTTTTATAATAGTTCCTGCACATTTGTTACATCGCATGAAGAAATTCCTTTGGATTTAAAATGCATACTATGACATTAGCTCAGACTGTCAGTTTTTTATACTTGCACTTAAATGAATGTTCTGGGTTAAATAGCCAACTGATTAAACTGTGCATGCTGTATGATTGCTAAGTTATTTCTATGAAACAGTGTTTTTGCAGCTGGGAAACCCCTGAAAGATTTATCATCTGTCACTGCTGAATAATTATGCAGAAAACATTTCCATAGATAATCATTTTGATATAGATGATTAGCATCAATTTACATCGAACAATACTATAGACCTACATTTTACACCTTACTGTCAACACGTTTTTTTTTTTTTGCGGGATTACAGTATTTTCTGTGGTTGTTTCATTTAAACCAGAATATTACACTTTACCTGTACAGCAAACCCTCATTAGAGCATTTTGAAGGTGGGATATCAAGGGACTTTTGGTTTTATTAAGTGCAAGTTTCATTTTATTATGCAGCACAGATTGAGCCTGTTTTTGCTAATTGTGTTTTTTTGAACCTGTTAATGAGTTGTGTGAAAGATATCTTCAGTGTTTGTTTTTAAAATCGGAAGCCTTTGTATTTCACTTCATCGGTGTACGGCTCACACTCACTTTGGGAGTGTTAGATCATGTAACAAACATTGTCATGTGTTGTGGATAAATGTGACACATCATTCAGTGTTGTTAACTCTTGTAAAGGGTTGTCTGCTTATCTCAAATCAATGAAAAAGGCAAAGAAGAGGATGTTTGCATGTGAAATACCTGCCATGAAGATAAAATTTTATTCCAGGGAATTACAACAGAAGCCGAGACAGGCTAAAATGGTTTTATTATGGTTAGAGCTGTACAGAGTTCAACAGAGTAAACAATGCCCTTTATGTAAGCAAAATGAGCAAGAATGTTGCTCAGAAATAGCAATGTCTGAGCTCTATATGTTGATCATTTGGGTGGTTATAACTGTTGTTTTCCATTTTATTTCAGAAATTGTAAATAAAACATCTATTCTAGACCTAAAAATCATCAGATGTGAAGTTTATTGGGGATGTGGCTTTAAAGGACAAAGAGAAATCAATATAGCATGTAATCACAAAAATATACAATATTTAACAATACAATAATATTAAATGGTTTTTAAAATTGCTCTTTGAATCAAATCCTCATATCCTTTCCATCGTGTGTACATGATTGATAATTAAATCATAATTTGGAAACGCCTCTAATCAGAACTAACGTTACTGAACATTCGCTTAATCAGCTAAGAGCCTGAATCAAATGTCAGTTTGTCCAGTAATTATACTTACTTTCCATATAAGTAATAGTGAAATTTAATTTGCAATATTTTTTTAGATGGTCTGTGCTGCTGTCACCTTTTCTTTCTGCAATGCACCAAATACAAGTGTTCTCTTCACCTCAGGAAAATCCTAAAACTTACTGTACACAAATGGGCGGCAGACAAAGACAAAAAGGAAATAGACAGGACACACATGCCTCGTTGTTGGGCGTTGTTAAACCCCTTCAACCATTATACAATTGCCTGTCATCTGAGAACGAAAACAAGTAACGTCAGGCAAACGAGTGGAGAGCATGTTCAATGGAGCATTGTAATAAAACAAGCTTTTGACGGCAGCTAGAGCACTGAAAGAAAGGGTTTGCATCACCATGAACAAAACTCCCTTTGTCTCAAAATCCGAGTGTATGTTTCTTAGGATGAATATATGATGCATCTTTGGACCTTTGCCGCGCTGTTCCAAATCAGACGTAATATAAAACATTTTACGCAACGACTCTTTTTTATCTACGATTTTCGTCATTCGAATAAAAACCGACGCAGTGCGAATCGAGGCAGCCATGACGTGAACAAAGGCGTTAAGTAAACGCATGCGCGATACAACCAACGATTCTCATCAGTCAGAGCAGCGCCTGCGCACGGTAGTCACACAAGCCCGTGCAATGTTTTGAACGGCGACGTGCTGACGTCACCGCCCGCACGTAAACCTCGGAGGGTGAGACGCACGGTGTAATAATGTGAGAAGGGAGAGAGGAAAAAAACAACATTAACGAAGACAGGAGAGAGAGTATGCACAATATGCATTACATATTGACAAAAGGTAACAGTCTAATCCGGATGCAGCTGTGTCTGTTAAAGTAATTGTAAAAGTTCGCTGCACAGGGGTGTTTTTTCGTTGTTACTTCGTGGCCAGAGCAGACCATCCTCTCCGCGCGCTTCGCCCGCCATTCGAGATGTTTCGACGTGCACGCGCTATCCGCGCCAACTTTTAGATCTCGGGCCTATTAGAGACATGCGCCATCGACGAATATATCTCGACGCCTGTTTCACAAAAGGTGACTGAAACTCAATTTCTTGACTATGAATGGACAAATAACATTTATGCACGCCGGTGGTTGCCACGTTTGCTCACCTGTGAATTAGGTAAAATAAGCAGGTTAGTAATGTTGTGTAACGTGCGCCTTTTCGGTAATCATGCGTGCGTTGCGTTACAAATGCGTTTGACGCTTTTCTTCCAGTTTTAGTATTATCATAGATGTGTATTTAAATGGGACATGTTTTTTTCCAAAAGCATGTGGCTAAAGTGATGCCATGGCGTTGCATGCATATTTTCTATTATATTTGATTTTATACCTAACATGTTTTTGACTTCTCATAAAAAACAAAATTATTACCTTAATAAAACGTTTTTGGTGTCTTAATTGCGTCGTTGTGGGCATGAATTGAGTTATTTTAATACGTTTTAGACGGTTATCCAGCAGTCATACTACCCTTTAAGCATGAGGTAATTTTGAAACCCGCCATGTTTACGTTTTTCTGTATGTTATAGCTTTTAAAATTATTATTTTAATAATACCCATATGTTATTAATAATACAGCAAATCTTAAAATATATTGTCTACTCGAAAGACAAAACTGTGTATATTTGCTTTTGTGCTTTTCCGTACATAAATGGAACGTGACACACCCACCTTGGAAGGTGCACAATAGAGTTCTATAGAAAATGTTTAAATAGTGCTTAAACGGAATGCATATTTGAGTCATATAAGTAGCCTAATAAAGGGTGTTTTAAGTTGCATAGATTGTTTCACCTCGCGAGTTGAGAACTTAACATGACAAGGAAAACTTTTTCTACGGTCACGCCATGTCGTAAATACTGTAGTCTGAGATGACAACACGTGATGTTCTATTTGGTGCGGTTCATGTCCTTGGACTGGGATGGCGTTTAAATCCAATTTTCTATGCCCTTCCCTCGCTTATTTCTCTCCATCTTGTTCACTCAAATGTACATCATTGCCTACAGTGCATGAGTGCCCACTACTGGCAGAACCCTTGCAGTGTGTTTAAATGGAACACCATAAGCCCTTGATCGTTTGGAATCCGCAATGGAGCTGATTTATTATTTAAATGTTTCCCTTATGAATTTGTGCACCATTCTTTAGGCCTGTGCTTGGGCTGTTGGAGAAAATATAAAAATGTACACATACTACAATAACAATACTACATACTGTAGTAGTCAGCTTAAAAGTACTATGTCCGATATATCGGCCGATATTTTTATTTTTTTTTTATTTCAGAAACGCGCAACAAAACATTAACAGATTTCCCTAACATTAGTTATTTGTAGTTATTTATGATTAATATTATATATTAAAATAATATGATAATGCATTTTAAAAAGAAACTTGTTTCTTTTATTGTCACAACAAAACAGACTGATGATTGTGGCATTAGCTAGCTTTATGATTAGCTAGTCTGTGATGAACCATAATTTAGCAATGGATTACACCATACTGCAAATTGTAAAACGTACATTTTCAATATAACAGGCCAAGGAGAGATGATGCGTCTCATTGCTATAACTGTCACATTGTCAAAAGTTAAAGTCCCCGTGAACCGGAAGTTGCAAACGATTTTTCTCCAGTGCAGTGACGTATTTCCAAGTGAAACGGAATATTGAACAGAGGGCAGGGTTTTACTCTAGCGCTCCTCCTCTCCATCTCTCGCTCATAGCAAACGAACGGTTTGAGGGGAGTGGTTAAGCGTTTCCCCACCCAAACTGTGAAGCCTACGTCATCAGAAAAAGAAACCGTTCCAGACCGGAAGTAACTTTTCAGATTTTGATTAAAGATTACTAAGGTAAAACATTTTTTTAATATATATTCACTTGCACGGATTAATTGTTCACCACAAGACTAGTAATATGCGCTAACAAAGTAAATAGGTTCAATTTTGATTTCACGGGGACTTTAAAAGGACAGTCAACTACACTGTAACAACATAACGTAACTATTACTAGCTAATTCCGCTTCACTCTCTGCTTATTTAACAGCAGCAAAACTGGACATGATGGTCACAAATTTTGTCATGCTTATTTGAGTCAAGAGAACTGATGGGGATGTTCTTAAATTGTTATTCAAGCAATGTATGTATCGTGACCAACTCAACGAGTGCTGCCAACAGGAACGGTGTAGAGTGCCCTCTGGTGCACAAACTATATAATTCCAACACTCATGACATGGTTCAAGCGTGTTTCGTCCGTTTTTATTTTATTTTTGAAATATTCATTTATCGGCCATTATAACTGCCGATACCGATAGTTTGGAAAATGCCTAATATCGGCCTGCCGATATATCGGTCTGGCTCTAATATATATAATATATATACATACATATATATTTTAGTTGATTACTTACATTATCCCAAATGTTTATAACTATTTGCAAATCGTGAGAAAATTACGATTTTAACCAAGGTAATGGGGCGTGTGAGTAGGGGTGAGGGAGTCGCCAGTCAATGCCGTAATATCCTCGTTACCCTTGGTTTACCCCATGGTAACCATGGCGACAGATGTGGACAACTGGGTTATGTCTAGCAGGATGCTCGTGCTTTTTGTGTTTTGTTGAAAAATTATAACAGTGGCAATCAGACATTGAGACAAAAAGAGGACTAAAACGAAGACGCTGAGAGCTCCACGTCCGCAAACTAACTTTCTGTAATTAACTTGACAGAGTGTTGCATGTAGTTTCTTAGACAGGTGAGCAAATGTGTATAAAACTGATCAGTGTTGTATAACTCAACATGATGAAATGTTAGAATATGATCTGTTTGTTTTTCTATGTTGATCTAGCTTACTGTTAGTCTAATACAGCCAACAAACAACCTAACTAACATCATTCAACACACTCAAATGACATTTAGCGTGATAGTGTAACTGTTAGAGAAAGTTAAACAGTGCTGCGTTACCTCGAGTTTAATTCGTCTAATAAACTGACCTGTGCGAGTGGTAATACAGCACTTGCGTGTAGTTCGGTAGAGTAAAATGCCCTTATTCCTTTATATCCACGGGACTTGCGTTGCGCTAGTATACGTCTCTCATTAGCAATCGTGCCCTGCATCATTAAAAACATCAATGTATTCACTCATCCATAACAGATCCATCAGCTTTACGACAAGATCCATAATCCCGCTTATCACTGCGTCATCAATATACGCCTTTGTTATTGTAAGAGGTTAGCAGCCCCTGGTGGCGAAAAATCCTACATATTGTACCTTTAAGGTAGCTACATATATTATGCATTCAAATGTCTAAATAAATAAAAAATCAAACACGAGTTGTTTCGGGTAAATTAAGTGCGATCTGCTGTAAGTCACAGTCATGCATCTTTGGTTTATGAGTCTGCTTGAAGTGTATTGAGTTGGCTCACTCCCTCTGTCAAAATCGATGGGTAGAGGGTCTGTCCAATTAAACTTCCCTTGCTCGCTTGACAAAGTTGAAAGCACTTTAAAATGACGGTGAGGATTCCCTCAAGGGAAAGTGCTTGGAGAAGTGCATGTATAAAAGTGGAGTTAAACGCAACCTGGGCATTATGCATTTCTTTGGCAGCTATATCAACTGCTAAATTAATCTGATGCAGTCAGGTGGTAAAGCGGTCACATGGTAAAGGTAGGAGCACTCAGAAAATTCCCATCTTACAAGCTGTAATTATGAGCTCTACAAGGATTTGAACACTTTTTATAAGTTGAAATCTTGTAATTGCGGCAATTACAACATTGCGTGTACTTGACATTTAACACTTTCTATTTAGTACTGTGTAGTACATGATGTGAGTTACCCCTAATGATAAGAAGAAATCATGTCCGTTAAATGATTACTGTGTGCCAGCTTGGGATAAACAAATAAATTTCTAGCACATCTTTGACTTTTGAGATAACGTAGCATTAACCACGATTTGGCGAGCTTATTCTAAAACGGTAGTGAGTGTCATCATACAGCACAAAGACAATGGGTTGTAACATGGATGTATTTTAACAATAAAATACAAGAGTTTGTGCTAAATTGTTATAGTGACTAGCCTATTTTCACAATTTAGCACAGCCTAGTTATATAGAAGTTATGTTTTTATTATTAATTACCTAATAATTTTATTGAAACGTCATTTTAAGCAAATGAATTGCTTGACATGTTTACACTATAGGCCTGAACATTGAATAAATTAAATGAATTTGCTCGGTCTCTATTTGCAGGGAATTCAGTGCACCTACTTTAGTATCAAATTGCTTTTCAAGGCAATGTATTGTCTGGAAACTCGGTCACACTAAGTATTGTTTACATAAAAATGTTTTAAATTTCTTTTCATTGTAGTTGCTTTTTTTATTCTTAATCTAGTGCCATCTAGTGGCACCAATGGAATTGCCAGAATAATGATTGTTTCCAAAGAGGTTCCCCTGTTACATGATTTTACCCCCTCTCTTCTATTCAGTGTACATTAATGAACACAGAACTTCGGGGCAGTTTACACAACAATTTTGTTTGTTTTTTACTAAAAACTGAAAACGTTTTGCGTTTCGGTCATTCATGGCGATGATTAGCTTCTTTATTTTCTCAGAAGCAATGTTTTGGTTGGAACGAAAGTTTACATTTTATGTTTCTTTGGAATCAGCCAGTGCGAAGGACGTCTATATTCCAATTGGTTGCTGGCGTTTTGCCGCTGCTTGTCTTTGACCTGCGTCATAGCTCATTACCATAAAGTTGAGCTTCTTTCAACTTTCTGATTGACGCTCTAGTCACTCAAAATGCGATGCTGATGGATATCACACTCCTTGAAGCTGAGAGAAGCCATCTTCCATTGAAAATGAATGACTTCCGGTAACTTTGGAAGCTCAAATCGGCGGTGTGTACGTACAGTTTGCCCTAGCATTTGATGACATTGGCATTTTTCTTTTTTTTGCAGTGTCAACCATGGTTGGATTAATTAGTCAGTTTTGGGGTGGGTTGTGGTGGTCATGACTTTGGTTAACTCGGAGCCCTTGAGATGAGATGCTGTTTGATAATAGTTACTCAAAGGCCCTGTTTTTACCTAGTGTTAATGTGTTTTCGGTAGGGTTGGGTATCGGTTGGGTTTTATCCGATACCAGTACCTACTCGGTATTTTTTTAAACGGTTCCGGTGCCTAAACGGTTCTTGAAACGGTACTTTAGAAAACGAAACCGCACACACTTTGTCAAAGAAATAATACCCCTTTATTTACAGGGCCAAACTGGACACAATATTAACGTAATATAAATACAAGTAACATATGGTAATAATACATAAAGCAATATAAAATAAAAGTTCATATTTACATAATATCAAATTAAACAATATTATATCAAACAATGGAATAATACTGTAGATTAATAGAGATTATTACCAGGGTAATATAATATCGACATGGCTACATGTTCCCATGTTTTGTCTGCTTTAACTAGCCATGTAAGTTATCTTGTCATTTACAAGTTAAGCTCTTAGCCAGTTTGATATTTTGTTCCCACTGCGTCTTAGCTACGCAGCTTTGAGTAAACATATGAAATAGAACGTCTCTGTGTAACCCATGTTCTCTGAATAGGGAACGAGGCGCTGCGTTCGCTGCCAATACCTTGCACTGCTGACAAGTTTCCTTTTTCGGCAGAGAACTCTGAGGAGCAGATGATGATAATATAATATGACGACGTGAGCGTCAAGGCGGCGCGAATGGTTCAATATCCATAGACCATCGTTCTGAACTTCTGACGCGTAATTTTTCACGTGAAATGCAGCCAAACCTTGCAGCGTTTTGTCTTCGGCATCTTCATTAATCTCCTCGCTGTCAGCAGACGTTCCTGGTGTCTCCCGCATATTGATAGCGGCCTCCGGATGATCGCAAATTAGTTCAAATCTCCCGGAATCTAGAGCGTGCGATCAAGAGTGCACGCGTGCGAGACAGATCAGACAGTGCTTCAATAAACCGCATAGTGCGTGCACGTCAGAGAGGGAGACAGCGAGAGACTGCGTGTGTGCGCCTCATGCCACAGACTCAGGTATCGAAATCAGGCACCGAAATTTTCATTCTTATTCGGTCTGGTTACTACCTTTTACGTCAGAACCGGTTCCCTATTGGCACCGAGTTTCGGTACCCAACCCTAGTTTTCGGTGATCCAAGTGGTTGGTTGTAGGGGTGTCACGATTCTCCAAATCTTCAATTCAATTACATTTTTGATTCTAAGGTCACGGTTCGATTCGATTCTCGATTTTTAGCAATCGTCCAATTGGGATGCTCTCTGTCTTACATGCGCTAGCTTCATGAGGCACACATGCAAGGTCTCTCGCTCTCTCCCTCTCAGCCACCCGCAATATGGTTTGGAGCACAGTTTTTTTTATATGTCTTGGCATGCACGCTCACTCTTGCTCGCTCACTCTAGATTTCGGGATATTTTAACTAATTTGCGTGCATCAGTTAGCCGGGACTTCCGAGAGGCTTGGGATGTCTGCAAACTGTGGCTTTGTTGAAGCGCGAACGTTGTCAACATAACTGACTGGAAATCCCAAAAACTTCCACACCTGCAACTTCACTTAAGACGAGGTGGTTCACGTTCTGTCGATGGGTCTCCTGTATCTTGCTATCTTTTGAATGGCTGTAGCTAAGTTAGAGTAGGTTGGCCATAGACTCTCAGCACTTCAACACGCCGTGTTTTTTCCGCTTGGCAAGCTGAACGAACGTAACATGACATGGGGGCATGGTAGTATCGACGATTCTGACGATTTAAATATTTAAAATCGAAATTGTGACACCCTTAGTTGGCTGAGATGCATTACCGTTTCCACTTGATAATGACATACATCTCCTGCAACCATTTGTGTTCAGATTTGTCAAGACACACCCCACAGAGCATATCAGTTTTGCTGGACCGTCAAAGGCAGTGCCTAAATACTACACAGCTTGTGAGCGAGAGGGAAAGAAAGAAAATATGAAAATATATTATATGATATTATATTATATGCAGCTGTGATTAAAATAAAAAATTGTTACCACACATCCTAGAAATATCACGCAAGGTGATCTAGATGGATATCTTTCCTGCTACAAATGCTGTGTGGTCACTTGTGTTTTTGACTACTTGCTGGTATTTTCAGGGATCCAACCACAAAAGACCCTGTTTTAGACCCTGTTTCCATCTGTATTTAGTCCTAGTCACTTGTGATTGGATAAACAATTTGTTCTCATTGCCATGGACATGTGTAACTTGGGTTCAAGGTACCATGACTTTTTCTTGTATTAATTCCCCTTATTTAGGCAACAGATCCTCAGTCAGTGCTGTATGTACCTCCTTATGTTTACAGTTCTTTTTTACTTCAATGTAACAAATGGTAAAATGGTAAATGGACTGCATTTATATAGCGCCTTCATAGACCAAATGGCCACCAAAGCGCTTTACATTTGCCTCACATTCACCCATTCATACACTCATTCATACACCAACAACACTAAGGCTTTTCATTTACCATTTGTCCTTTATAGACCCAGAGGTAGAATTTGACTGTTTAGGTCAGGTACTCAACACTGTTCATGACTGGCCATCTTCATGCAAAGTTCCAGTCCTTAACCTGCCTATAATTTCCAAGTGTCATGAAGCCTTTGAAGAGTTTGTTAGGACTAAACTGTGCTGCTACGTGGCTGGCCTTCCAGGAGCAGAGTTGAATACCCCTTTTCCAATATATCCAGGATGTACTTTGTCTAAGACTTGCATAGATGTTCTCATAAGTAATACCTTGGCTTATGCAATGCTTAGAGCCCTGTGATGGATAACCACTTGTGTTGTAGTCCACAAAGCACCATACACTTCACACCAGTCTTCTTATTCAGACATTTCTCTAGCAAGGTGTGAACCATTTGAAAACCGACAAGGTAATGCATTTATGGAATTTCTTGACCTTAAACAATTTTATGCATACAGGCCAAGCAGGGATGCAACTTGTTAGTAGTTGATTAATCTACAAATAAACTGTTTATAATATGTTTGAATGTTTATCTTTACAGTTCCTAGCTGTCAAACATGCTTTGACCATGCCATGTTGTGTATGTCTTGTTTTTTAAAGGATGTAGACCTGAAATACCTTGAGATGAGAGGGTCAGAAGCTATCCAGATGACTTCTTAACTCCCATGGCAGATACAAAGGAGCAGGGTGCAATGGTGCTTCATGAAGAGGGCATGACTGCCCCAACACTGGCACCTCCCACAACCACTCCACCTTCTATCTTTGTGGTCCTCAAACAGTTGCAGACTGGTGATACTGGGAAAGACAAGAGCAGTCTCATGGCAATTAGTGAGGCAAATAAAATGGTGAATTGTTCAATCGGCTCTGCTGTAACAGGCATTCATCCATCATCATCTACATTTACAGACACCAACAACAGCTCACAGTCAGAACACTTGCCAGCAGATGCTAGATGTAAGGGCATCACAGTTACACTGGACAACAACAGTATGTGGAATGAGTTCTATAGGTGTCAGACTGAGATGATTCTGACCAAACAAGGTCGTAGAATGTTCCCCTATTGCCGATTTCGTCTCTCTGGAATGGAACCTTTCCAGAGTTACGTGCTGGCAATGGATATTGTTCCAGTTGATAACCACAGGTACAAATGGAGTGGGAAAGGATGGGAAACCAATGGGAAGGCTGAGCCTCATGTTTCACGTTTGTTTGTACACCCAGAATCCCCTGCTACTGGCCTACACTGGATGCAGTGCCCTGTTTCATTTTACAGACTGAAACTTTGCAACAACTTGGACCAAGAGGACCATATTATTTTGCACTCAATGCACCGATACCTTCCTCGACTTCATGTCATACCTGCAGACAAAGCCACTAAAGACATTCAAGTTGACAATCCCAACGTTATAACTCTAAGCTTTTCTCAGACCGAGTTCTTTGCAGTCACAGCCTATCAAAACCTTTGCATAACCCAGCTCAAAATTGACTATAACCCATTTGCCAAAGGTTTCAGGGAGGATGCAGTCAACGCCCGTTCATCAAAGGTAAAGAATGGAATGTCCACTGAGGAAACTGGGAGTGAACTCAAGCTAAGCAGGGAGACGACAACCTTGAACAATTTAAAAACTCTGTTTATGAAGAGAAATGCTGCTGTAAAGGTCAATAAGGACCAGGATGGTCCCAGCCCTACAAATGGAGAAAAGAAAGTTGTAAATGGTGATGCTCCTATTGTAGAAACAAATGTTCAAAGTTTCTGGTAAGTAGAGTTAATAAATTTGTTAAATGGAAACAAAATTTTACTTTAGTTTGAATTAGATTTACAAACTCAACACAACATACTCTATTGGCTCTTTTCCACTACACGGTTCCAGCTCGACTCAGCTCGCCTTGGTTTGGTTTTCCACTGTGTTGAAGTTGTACCTGTACCTACTTTCGGGTACTTTTTTTGTATCACCTCCGGCGAGGTTCTGCGCGACCTGAGGCGATACTAAAACTTGACGGGAAAACAATACCGACTGCTGATTGGTCAGACAGAATCGTCACCATTCACTGGGTCGTCATTGTACGCGCCAGATGGAGTATCCAGTATAACCCTTGAAATAATTTTGCCAGAGATAGTTACTAAACGTGCTACTATTATTATGGCAACTGGAAAGAATACGCCGTGGTCAAACGAGGATGTGCAGACAAAGAAAGGATCCAGCGAGAGTTTGATGGGGCAATGAGGAATGAAAGGCATCACTATGATGACTGGGTGCTTATAATGGCGGTAATGTCTGCAATGGAAAACAGAGCGAAAAGCGAACTGAGTTGAGTCGAGCTGATACTGGTAATGGAAAAGCGCCATATGCAACTGTGTGAATGCATGACCAACGCATTTTCCTGTTGTGTGCTGTAGCTTGAAGTGTTTGCTTCCACATAGTTGTATTGTTTTAGGCCCTAAGCTGCTCTTAAAAATATTTCCAGATATTGTACATATTTGCCAATTTTGACAAATATAAACTTTTTTTGTGTCTTGTTTTCTTATGCTTTCTCTGGCAGTAGTAAGAAGCGCCCATCATCATCTGCATTTTCAGACTTCATTAAAGGTGCTCACGTCAAAGTCAAAAGGTTATCACTTGAGAATATCAAGAAAAATGGTGTGGCCTTGCAAACAACTTGCATAAGTGATCAAAAGGAGGTGATGGACATATCATCCAAAACAGAAAATATATTACAACTTGATAGTAATGATGAAATTGTGGTAGGTGACATTCACAGATGTGAAAGCACAGACACATCCTCAAAAACAGATTTATTGAAGACCGATGAGACTAAAACAGAAATGGATGAACACAAAGCTAACAAGATTACATTGCTATCCAGTGACCAAAATGTACCCTACACTAATGAAAAGGGGATGGAGACCCTTTCTTCTTTGGACACTGAGGTCAAGTCTAAAGCAGACACGAAGAAAACCTTACCACATAAGCGTCCAGAACGTGTACCCCTACCGCTCCTTGCTCAGTTCCTTAAACAGAGAAAGTCCAAGACAAGACCTCTTACACCAAAATCTGACACTCCTAGCTCATCCTTAGACTCTGAAAAGTCATGTGAACCTTTCTTACCCCCTGAAAGATCATCTGCTTTGATCTCTTCCACCCCTTGTGTTACCAATGTATTAGATTCACATCCAGTACTTACCTCAATATCTCAAAAGGTTACATCAACAACAACAACAGATGCAATCAACATTACATCTCCGTCCACTGCATTATCATCTTCATCAGCAACGGCATCCCCCATACCAGCAGAAATGCAATTAGCTGATGGATTTACACATTTCCCAGTTGGCAGTGATCCATTCCATGCCCCTAACACTACCACTTCCTCCAAATCTGAATCTGACCCAACACCTGACAGAACGTCTAGTGTGTTGCATGATGCCGATGCTGTTTCTATGCCAGATCTTGACAACACACTCGGGTCTCAGTCAGACATTTCATCTCTCTTTACATGTGACACTGTTCATGACGCTTGTTTACCTATTACACCTGAAGTTAACAGTGACTTTGATGTCACACCAATTGTCCCCTCTGTCACTACATCAGATTTTGGTGTGCCATCTTGTACAGACAACGATGTTCCTTATCAGGAACTTGCCTCATTGCCTGATGAGAGTGCATCTATTTCCGATTGTCTTCTAGACAGTTCGAAGGGCTCTTGTCCTGAGCTTTTTTCTGAAGAAGTCCCTCCACACTCTCTGTTCCCACATGAAGAATCTCTTTCCTTGCCGTTAGATGACCCATCTTCCCCAGCCTTCTCCTTGCCTAGCCCAGCTCCTTCTTCTCCTGACCCATTTCCACCAAGTCTATTCTATGAAAGACCAGTACCTCCTCGAAAGACCCTTGATTCATTTCCAGAAAGATTATTGAATTGCACAGCTTTTTCCTCACCTGACCTTTTCCCATTAGGTCTATTCAATGACAAGCCTCTACCTACCAAAAAGAACTATGATTTTTTTCCAGAAAGACCATTGGATGCAATTGCAACTTCTAGAGAATCATTGTCACCAAGTGTCCCCGATGGGCCAGAACATCTCAAAGGAACAATTGACTTGTTCTCTCAAAGTCAATCCTCTGATAGATCAGGGCCTCTTAATTACTTGCAGTCAGCTGTTAGTTATGAGACCAATGTTTCTGATCACATTGTTTCGGAACCAATTAAACAATCCAGTCATGGAAGCACTTTAAAGAAGTCCAAGGCAAAACCGAAAAAAATCAGAAAATTGAAGATAAGTGAATATGACGAGGTGTTTGAAAAACCTGTAACTGTTCCAATGCTGCCCAGCCTGGAGGATGTCGACGGCCAGTTGTTTGTCTCCTTCATGTCAAAGGTACCAAATACCTTGTCTGGTAACTTTAGAATATAGAAAGGTTACTTTGAAAGAAATGACCACACACAAAAAAATGTACTCGCCCTTATTTTAAAACATCCAGATAATTATCGCACCAACCTTGATATCAAATAAGTCATTTACTCCCTGTTTTTTCTCAATGGTTGTTCTTGACATCAAACCTGAGTGAATGTGTCTTCAATATTTACTGACTTTACCCTAACCCTATTTTGTGAAAGTGTCAGCTCTTACAAAAAATGGTTGATTGGCTTTAGAATATTTGGATTACAGCTCATTTTAATTAATGGACTACTTTAGCTGTATTTGCTTTGCTTTACTACTTTAAAATGTTTATTAACCTGGTGTATGTAACATCTACAGAAAACTATCAATACACTTCCTTACAATACATCTATATGACATTCTGAACAATTCTTAATCCTGAAATAGAAAGCTCTTGAGATTCACCTTGGCGATGATGCCAAAGCGGAGATGGCACAAAAAACCTCAGAGTTTCCAGACGGTAAGAATTGAACACCTCGCTGTTGTTGATGCAAAAGAACAACTTTAAAATCACCTACAGTTTTAAAATGTTTTATTTAAACAGGTGACAGTGATGGATATATGCAGGAGAAAATTGCGGTGCTAGAGAAAACCCTTTTGTGTGATCTAAAACTCATGAAGCACAGACAGGTCATTCATCCAGTGCTCCAAGAAGGTTATAGATTTTGGATTTCGCTGAATTCGCTGATTTCGTCTAAATTATACAACAGTACAATGTACAACATTACAACAATGTTTCATTTTGTTTTTCTTTGTAGTGGGATTAAAGTTAAATCTGCTTGACCTAAACCTTGAAATTGACCTGCAATATCTGGGTGTGCAATTACCCATCCCCCCACCTGTTCTCTCACCCGAAAGTTCAGCATCATCTCAAGGTAGCATATCTTAATAATTATAATAACAACAAACAATAAGCATATAGATAACCTAAATCATTACTTAGGCATTTTCATTGTCATTAATGCATTTTTTCCCCTTTGTAGTCCAGTTTGTTTCAAGGACAGGAAAGACCACGGACTTCACTAAAATTAAGGGTTGGAGAGATAAGTTTGCTGGATCAGGATCTATTACTGAAGGTATACTATTTTATCAGTGATTTATTACAAGAATAACACTTTTTGATGTGATATTACCTAATTTGAAATGATGGTATGCTACTGCTGCTAAATTAATGATTTTGCATTACATTTTATTTGCAGCTGTGTCAAGCACAGATGCAGGGTCGACGAACCTCTCTGCATTTTGTAGTGATATGTTGGATGAGTACCTGGCTAGCGAGGGCAAACTGATCGACGAACGAGCTGCTAACTTATCACAGACTGATGCTACGCCTGTGGCATATCAGCTGCCCACAAAAAGCACTAGTTACGTTCGTACCCTGGATAGTGTACTTAAGAAACAAGTACCTGCTCCCTTATCTACAACACCGGATAAAGTCAAGCCAACGTTCAAGTCCAAAGAGAAAATTAAATCCAAAAAACCTTTGAAGTCCGGTACAGGAAAGCAAATAAAAACAGTCTTAAGTGTGAACAAACCTGCATTGTGCTTGAAAAAGCCACAACAGAGCAAAACATTTAAAAATAAGAAGGAATCCAAAAGTTTGAGTCCTGAAAAGCCTGTTGCAGTTGCAATTTCGAGTGCTGAAAAGACTGCTGCAATTGTGGCCTCTAAAAAGAGTCCCATGGTTGAAGTTTCTGGCTCCGCACAATCGAGTTGCACAGGTGGACGTAGTGTAGGTTTGCCTAAGACTCTGGTGAAGCTGATGGATGTGGAAGATGGAGCAGTATGGGAGGGCAGACATCGTACCTATATTACAGAAGAAAGGGCAGCCATCGCACTGGCCACTCTTGTCACCTCTGAGGTAATATGTCAAAATGAGGATCATCTTAGTGTATAGTTTCTTGGGACAGAGATTGGGTTTTGTAGTGATTGTCTTTAACAACAGAATTGAGCTATGGGATAATGTTCTCCAAGACACCTAATGCTCTTTCATATCTCTTTTTTAAGGGGGCATCAACAGGAAACCCTGATGCCATCAGAATAATAAGACGACGTGCGCCACCCTGCCTCAATGTATTCTGTAGGCTTGGCTGCGTGTGTGCCAGTCTGGTGCACTTGAGGCGACATCATCACTGTGGAAAACCACAGTGCATGTTGGGCTGTAGCTGCCTGCGACGCAAAGTTGTTGCACTGAAGACCCCCAAACAGGAAGAAAGTACTGGAGATGAGCCTGAACAAGGAGTGTCGGAGGAGAACAAGGCTAAATGGAAGAAGAAAAACAAAAAGAGGAAAACTTATGGTCGGTTTATTCAATGGTTATTTATTGCAATAGCTGTACCTTTGTTATAACTAACATTTGACCACTTGTTATTTTATTGTAATATTCCTGCATCTTTCAAAAATGCTTGTATTGCTTGAAAAGCTGATTTGAAACTATTTTTACTGAGAAAAGATATGCAAATGAAATTTAATTACCATGACCATCTCCTGCAGTTCTGACCGATCCGGAGACCGCTCCTGAACCGGCCAAACGTGTGAGTACATTATGGGTTCGAAAAAGAGAAGGTACCGATTCGGAGGTTCTTTTCTCTCCTCCTCCTCCAAGAGCTCCATCTCCAGCACTCTTATCTCAAGAGCTTCAGCATGACCTGGAAAGCTTTTTCAGCCCATTAAAACAAAAAACGGTGAGACTCAAATATTTAGAATACATTGCAGTCATCACTGATCACAGTTAATTAAACATGCTTTTAATGGGTTTATTATTTCATGTGCATTTTTTTCCCATTATTAATACTTGTCACATTCTATGTCATGTAGATTCATAATTATATCTTCAATATCTCCTTACTGTATTCAGGTGGAAGAGAAAAATGTGAATATGATTAAGGACAATATGGACACGGACTCACTGACATGTGCTCGTTCGCGACCGTTTGACTCCAGGTGTCATGCTAAACAAAAAACGGTGAGATTCTGACATGAAGGATGGCATATTTTTTGGTTAAGACAAATTTACACAAATTTACTCTGTACACTCTTGTACTTTTGGCAGGTTGACCAGCACACATTACAGGTCTCTAATCAAGGTCAGTTTTCCTTTATTGATCATTAGTTATTATGGGTTAGTTCAAACAAAAATTAAAAATCTGTCATAACTCTCATGTCATTCCAAACCCGTAAGATGTTCATTCATCTTCGGAACACAAATGAAGCCCCAGAAAGGTAATAAAGACATCATAAAAGTAATAGTTTATTTAATGACAGTATTTTAATTTATGGTTGAACTAACGCTTAAATAGTTGGTGTAATCATAGTTTATTGCAAAACAACAAAATTGTCAAGTTCAAAGGACTTTAAAATGTTTTACAAAGCTGGTCCTTAAAATTGAAACTTCTCTTTTTTCCTCTTTTGCTCAGATATTGAGGAGGGAGAGCTTGTACCTCTTAATTTGTCTGGCCCTGCAAAACGCCTTGAGATCATATCCGAATGCAGTTTGACAAGTACAGACATCAGAAACAACATTATGCGCATATTGTGTGAGCACATGGCTCAGGATCGTTTGAAGCATCCTTTCTGGATTGGCAATTACTTTATTGAGCCATTTTCCAAGACTCTACAAGAGACAGAGGATGGTTCTGTCGAAACATATAAAGTCACAATCTCTCGACCTGTGGAGAAGAAAATGGAAGATGAGAAGGTTACCCAAAATGAAGCTGAGCTAAAAAAGCATGTAGAGAAGAGTGAGGTGAAAGGTCTGCCCTTCCTCTCCAAGTGTTGCCCTGCAGGCTTGCTCAAGGCTGAGAAAAAAGCACCTGATGCCCCAGGCCGAATAATGGTATGCGTGCAATTACCTGGCAAAACCATTTCGATGCATTTAGAAAACAGTATCATAAACTAATTTGAAGTCAAAATAACATAAATCTATCCTATTTACTTAATTTACGTTCCTGGTCTTCTTGCGCACAATTCTTAGGTGTATATAATTTAAATTTTCATGAATTTATTATATTGACCTGAAATTACTTTTTTTATTTTATTTGACATCACCTGGGCTGCATGAAATGCTCACTTTTCACAATTAAATCAATTCCCAATGGGTCTTAACCTACAATTTTTCTTTTAAACAGTACAGAGCTAAAATGGATTGGCAACATATTTTTTGTTGACTTTAAGAGTAGTTAAAGTACTGCCTGTCTAAGACATTTCTTTATATTTTAAGGTATGATTATTTTTGAATGGAGTAGGACCAGTCCTTTAAAACTCACGATCAATTGTTTCCGCAGGTCAATGGAAAGCCATACCCACAAGCCAAGTTAGAGCTGGGACAGTTGGGAGCTTTGCATCCTGCCAACAGACTGGCAGCTTACATCACAGGGAGAATATGTCCAACAACATCCACCATTACAAAGGCCTCTACCACATCCATACCGGTTTCTACTGTTGCCACCGTTACCAGCACGTCTACTTCCACACACACACCCATCATCAAATCTGTAGGTGAGTCATGTAAAGGTTTACAGCGCACACCTCCAGACCTCTCAAGTGTATTGACCAATATAGTGGACGTCCAATATATTATTAAGCACTGTTACATGTGTGCAGCTGTACTGCATGTAAATATGTGCATAACTTAAGTGGCAGACTTAACCTGCTCCTGAATTTGTTTTTTGCACAGTGACCAAGTCCCCTGTGGGAAAGGTCTTCACCCAGTTTGTGGTCAACCACATCAACTCTCAAAACAACACTAGCACCTCACACTTACAGCCTTCTGCTCCAAAAATTGTCATCCCCTCCTCCACGTTGATGATTGGCAGTGAGGCTGGTGCTCCTGGGATGGCTCTTTCTCCTCTTAAAGCAGGCTTAATAACCCAGGCGTCTGAGCCTTCAGACTCTGCAGGTAGCACCAGTTTGCCCACTGTATCAAAAGTCCAAGCCCCTTACTTCACCATCCTTTCTAAATCACCCAGCCTGCCTCTGGGTAAGCCTGACTTCCTTGGTTTGCCATTGTGTGTCTGTGCTTCCCTCTCCATCAAACCCTTTGGCCATGCATCTACTGGAATAATTGAACGTACTTGGCCTTCCAGGGCTCCAGACTGTGACCAGTTGGTCGCATTTTGCGACCATTTTTCTTGCCAGTGCGACCAAATATTTATTTAGGTCGTGCTGGTGCGACCACACCGTTGCCGAGCAGTGAATGCAAACAAAATCAATGCGGAACTAAAATGCGCTACTCATTTATGCTTCATGGACCGTTTATTAGTTCGGACCAATAATAGACAGAGCCCCGAACTTGCCAGTCGCGGGCCGATCTCGATCAAGCAACTCTGTTACTAGGAGGTCCAGACTCTAAAGATCCAGTAAAGAAATCCATTGAATTCGACTTAGAATTAATAACATCATTGTTGCAAGATCCAGTTAGAAAAATTCTGATTGTGCGCAGAGTTCTTTTATAAACCAGGTATCAGATCAAACTGCGCTGACGTGGAAGCCAGGAGAAACGCTTATAGAAGGCTTTCAGTCCACGAATCAGCAACATTCACCATGGATTTTGGCTGATGTATTAACTCTAACCATAAATATGGTACTGTGACAGAAATAGTCAAACATTTATAAGTTACTAGGCTACACATCTTTTTCCAGCACTTTTCCAGCAAACTATAATATTATATATAGATGTAATTAAAGTAATTAAATTATAGTTTTAAACAGTAGGATATATATATATATATATATATATATATTCACTCATTTTACTTTTTAATGTTAAGACATTTAGTAGTGAAGTATAGTTAAAATTATTTTCATCTACATGGCTGCTTGCCCTCAATTGTTAGTTTGAAGCCCTGTGAGCTTAAAATCAAACTGCACAACATCTGTATGTTTAGTCTATTTATTATTTAATAATTTGTCAGTATTATAGTTATTTAGGGGGAAATTAGAATAATTGCATTGGAAGCTGATTTAAGGTGTGCCACGAAATGTTCTGCTTGTGCTCTTAAAATTCAGTCAGGGGCTACAGCTCTCCTAGTAAAAAAGGTTAGTCTGGAGCCCTGCCTTCATATAGGTCTGTTCTTGTGATTTAGTGCTTGCTGTTGCTTTAAAGAAAGTCACTGGGTTACTTTCATCTTCCGGTTTTGTGTTCCCTTCCCATAATCTTCTGTTATCATCATTTGTGACTGGTTATTGTTGGTTGAATAATCTTCCATGAGCTTAATTCAGTGCAGAGCTTCACCATCATTGATTTTCACATTGCACTGTAGGCATGGGCGGTATCCAAATTTTCATACCGTCAAACCTCCTCCCTATTTTACCGCGGTATACGGTATTACCGCGTGACTAATTCAAAATTACGAGATATGGCTCAGATGGCATCACACATGATGACACGTTCAACCAGAGAGTGTCGGTTCCAATAATGCATCTAAAAGCTGTCAATCAACTATTAGAAAACAGGAGATACACATTGTCTCACACCAGAGAATGTGAGCAGAGTGGTGATATTTCCTCCAGAGAGGGCAGCGCATTTCTGAAGATCACGCGCCACGAGCTCTCGACGCGAGCCGAGTGGAGCCGAGATAAAAAAAATTTATTAATAAACTAGTGTTTTCTATGTCAGTTGCTGCAAAGATAAAGATTGCATTGACGATGCAAACTGGCATCTTCATGGTATGAAAACACGAATAAAGAGTAGCCTAATGCACACTTCATATGAATAAGCCTATAGCAGGGAGCAGCTCATTTCTTTTAGCTTGTAATGTTTTGTTTAAAAGTATAGACATTTCAAGCTTACATATATATATACACTTCTCAGATCATTAAGACATGTATCTTATATGCCGAGTTTCAGTTCATGTATGAATCGCGCTCCAGTCACGCTACGGCGCGTGTCCTGATTAGGCTACCATCTTTGCTTTTTATTTATTAGCCTAATCCAGGCAATTCGTTGATGAAAAAAATAAATAAATGAAGATGCAATTTATTCAAAACAAAATTCGTTTTAAAGAAAGGCTTTGTACAAAACAAAACATAATAACTGGTCATAATCATGTCTGACTGACCCAACGTGTTTTCTATGTCAATTGCTGCAAAGATAAAGATTGCATTGACGACGCAAACTAGCATCTTCGCGGTAGTGAACGCGAATAAAGAGTAATGCACACTTGATATGAATTAACCTAAACATAAGCAGAGAGCAGCTATTCTTTTAGATTGTTAAAGAAGACATTTCAAGCTTACTATATATACACTTCTCAGATCTTGTTTCTTATATGCGAGGTTCAGTTCATGTATGAGTCGCTCTCCAGTCACGCGCCGGCGCGTGTCCTGATCACTATATTTGCTTATTATTAATTAATCCAGGAAATTCGTTGATGAAAAAAAATTTAAAATGAAGATGCAATTTATTCAAAACGAAATTCGTTTTAAAGAAAGGATTTCTACAAAACAAAACGTAATAAGTGGTCATAATCATGTCTGACTGACCCATTCCAAATGTTTTTCGATATTGCGCATTTTATGATCTTATCTTAGTCATCTCATGAAGTTCCCTTTTCATAAAATCAACATACATAGAAAAACATCATATTATTAAAAAAAATGAAAGGAATACGTTTTTTTTCAACCCTAGCTTATATTTAAGCGTCACACGGTCCGCCCCGCTGTAGACTACATGCATGTGGCGTGCATGTGGTGGTGGGGCACAATTTTCAAATAATAATCGAATAATACCAGGCAATCTTTAAATATTATTTTGCTTGAAATGCCCATCCCTGCCAAACTGCAGAAGTCGTGTTCTTCTTCGAGACCAAGTCACTCAGTGCGCAACTTGCAATCTTTGCCCTCTCTCCCCCAACTGTCACGTCATGAGAACCAGATATAAGCATTTTAGACATTAAATACATTGTATTTAAAACATTGCACTTATATAGGAGACAAGGATTCCTTGTCTCCTATTTAAGTTCATTGTTTTTTTTTTTGACGGTATGACGATATTGAAAATGATACCGTTGCTATTTTTAGATCCCGCGGTATACGATATTACCGTAATACCGCCCAAGCCTATTGCACTGTCTTAATGTTAGAACTGTCCTTTTGCAGACTGAGATTTCAAAATGTGTGACGCTGTGTTTACAGTGAAAAGGAAAATTATAAAATATGTTTTTGGCTTCTCTGGATTCAACAGTGTAGAATTTCTGGTATTTGGTAAACACAGCCTGAATAAATTATAATGTTTAAAACAAAGCAATCAGATCATGTCAAGCATTTTAAATAAACTGGCAATCTGTGGCCATATAAGCATCAGAGATCATTTGTGATGCAGCTATGGTGAGCAATGTTCAACTTGATGTAAATGCACAGTGACATAATGTGCCAACTGGCAATAGGAATACAGGCATTTAATCAATGTCAGTGTGAATTCTCCTTAATAGTGACCATAGTGACTTTAATAGCCGTTTGCTATTGTGTGAACAATCTGTCACCATCATTATTCTCCTTAAAGGGTTAGTTCACCTATAAATTAAATTTGTCATTACTCGCCCTCATGTTGTTCCAAACCCGTAAGACCTTCGTTCATTTTCGGACCACAAATTAAGACGTTTTTGATGAAATAATGAATCTTTTCTGTATTTTCAGGTGGGTCTGGTCCAACGACATCAACTACTGTCTATTCACCTGGATCGACCACTCCTGGGAAAAAGACTGTTTTGATCACAGTTATGTCTCGTAATACAGGCCTCCCCAATAGTGGTCCTCGAATTACAAAGCCTGTCACACAGACTCGTCCCCCACAGGCCCCTGTCACACAGACCCGTCCCCCACAGGCCCCTGTCACACAGACCCGTCCCCCACAGGCCCCTGTCACACAGACCCGTCCCCCACAGGCCCCTGTCACACAGACTCGTCCCCCACAGGCCCCTGTCACACAGACCCGTCCCCCACAGGCCCCTGCCACACAGACCCGTCCCCCACAGGCCCCTGTCACACAGACTTGTCCCCCACAGGCCCCACAGCCCCCAGGCCAAAAGATGCTGCTTCAGGTGGTGAAGACGGCTGATGGAAACACATTGTACCGTAATCCTAATGGCCAACTCATGCAGTTGGTACCTCTAAGTCAAATTAAAGCCATCAAACCCAATCTCTTATCTCAAGGCCAACGTAAGTGGTTCAGGAATACCATTTTAAACGATTCACGAAAACCAAAAATATGTGTGTGTGTGTGTATGTGTATATATATATATATATATATATATACACATATATGTAATATGTACTGTATGTATGTATACAGTATATATATATATATATATATATATATATATATATATATATATATATGTGTGTGTGTGTGTGTGTGTGTGTGTGTGTGTGTGTATATATTACACATACAGTATATATGTGTGTGTATATATATATATATATATATATGTATGTATATATATATATATATATATACTGTATGTATATATATATATACATACAGATACACAGATAATTAAATATGTAGACTATTAGCCAGTCCCTCCAGAAAAACGTGATTATGCGATCGCATGATTTAGTGCATAATCAGCCAAAGTCCACATATTTATGCAGGGACGCATTTTTTCAAAACTTTTGCTGAATAAATTTCTGTGCAAAATATGCGGGCTTGCAAGATTTCATAATCATTGCATTTTCATTTAAAAAAAGTCATAAAAGAACAAAAATCTGCCTTTAAACTTTAAAGAAATAAAGATTTGACATATCGTGATAATTATCGATATCGACTAATAAAAAAGTTATAAAAAAATAAAAATAAAAAATAAAAATAAGTTAATAAAAATTTTTTTTTTTTTGCCCATATCGCCCAGCCCTAGTTATGATGTTAATTTTTAATATGCCACCATACCGATGTATTTAATAGACCTATGTCACGAAAAAATTGAAGAATTATGACCGACTTTGAGAAATGCGTGTAATCTACATTATTACTTTGTATCATTTTTTTAGTACAAAGGGTAGAAATTAAATTCCACTGAATTAAAAATTATGATACGAGCACATTTATCTATTGGGTAAAAAAATTACATTTAAGGCATGGTCACATCATTTTCAAGTTTTCGAAAAAAGCATTTAAATTCCTAGTTTCATTTTGCTAGTGTTTTGCTGGCAACCAGTGTTATATTAAAATACATGTGGACATTTTTTTGTGCAGCATGGTCTTATTTATTATTTTACTTAAATTGGTTGAGTTGATAAACTTGTGTGGGGAAATTGCTAAACAAATGTTTGCTTATCTCAAAAGACATTAATTATGCCTCTATTTTTCCCACAGCAACCTTTATCCGTTTGCAAGCTCCGCCTGCAATCAGTCTGAACAAGCCTCAGGGTGGCAGCACCACCATAGTCACGTCTTCCAACCCAACGACTCAAATACAGTCAAAGCCTATTGTCACTGTACCAGTCTCTACATCTTCGTCTATGAGTAACAAGACAGTCACACTCACTACCTCCAAGTCAGTCTTGGGCAGCCTTCCTTCTACCCTTAAAGTTGTCCCAGGTTTTCTGGGACAATCTGGAACTTGCACATTAAGAATTCTCTCAGCAAAACCTGTCCAAGACACTGGAATTATAAATCCAGCTTCCTCTCTTATACCCTCACAGAATGGCTGTACTTTAAAACATGGAAGTTCAATACTACCGAACAAAGACTCCACGAAGTCTGAGACCACCGTTTCTGTGAGCTCACTTTCAACAGAGGGGCAAATCGGTCAGGTCCATGAGCAGTCTGAGCTGGATCCTGTTAAACAAAATAGCTGTGATGTTTCTAAGCGAATGGCAGGAAATGTATCAGAGATTTTATCTTCTGCTGCCACCTATCCAAAATCCAGGCAATTTTCTGGAGATGATTTAGCCCCTTCACATAGTGAGCATGGAGCGCTGAAACATTTGAGTTTGTCTGAAGCTGATAACCGAGATAATCCCAATGTGAAGGAAAAAGATTTTGACCAAACACCAGATCCAGAAGAGGAAGAGATTGATTCAGATGGAACAGAATTAACTGATGACTCTGACCTGTACAGTGATGATGATGATGACGGCCAAGAAGATTCATCTAGTTTTAGTGTAAGAGCTTCATATAATTTATTATTTTCACCTTTTGGAACTGAATTTGTGTAGCTCATCGAACTGTGATATTGCTTGTTCAGGATACATATTTTTGCTCGTTTTCAGGATTCTGATAAAGAGGAGAGGATGGAGGATACAGATGGTTTAGACTCTGAGATGAAAGATTTTGCAGAGGTGGTGGTTGATATTGAGACTGTTGAGTCTGCAGAGGAAAACAGTATCACGAAATTTAGGGCATCTGCAATTAGACGGAATCGACATCATAGGTAACGAACACCTGACTGATATTTGATTATGTGGAACTTTAGTTTGGAAATAGATGCTTTGACTAAGACATTTAACAAGTTCCTGTAAAGAAAATGAACAAAATTACTTTTCTTTTAAAAATATTTTGCTCTTTCAGTGACCAGAAGCATATTCATGATGAAAGCTTGCAAGTGAAGGTCAGGGTGGGTTCTAATTTTTTTTTTTCTTTAATGACTGACCCAACCCTTTCTATGTATTTTGTAACATGCATGTGTAACAGTTTTTATATTTAAAAAATGTGGTTTTATAACTTTTTGCAGAGAGTGAGGCTGGAGAGAAAGAGGCGCCACACACTCAGAGAGTTATTTCTTAAACTTCAGGAAACACTAGGAATGGTCTCAAAGTTTCGTAAAGTTTCCAAGGTGAACATCCTCACCCAGGTATGTTGTTGATTTTGCTACAGTTTATGCTTGTAATTTCTCTGAAAATATTGGTTTACTGTTTTGACACATTTCCTTACTTATTTCCAGGGTTGTAAAGAGATTGAGTCTCTGGTTAAGCAGGAGGACCACTTAGCAAAAAGACGTGAGAAGCTGCGAATTAAGAGGGAGCGTTACCTACAGACACTTTCACTATTGTGTGGTAAGGCTGTCTTTCAGACTATGAAATCATTTTTAAATAATATCCAAGCTGTTATTAAAGATCAGCAACATATTTTGTAAAAATAAATTAATCTTGCATACTTGCAAATCATATTTTAATGCAACTTTTTGGTCATGCTACCATCCTGATGGTTGCATGACCTAAACATTGCATTGAAATATGATTTGCAGGGTATTGCAGTATGTGGGGTTCATCTACTTTGTTAGACTATTTGTTTCTATTTATTCATAGGATTTACAATGAGTTGTGGAGATCTTTCATTGATATATTCTGATATAATTTGAATGTGTGAACATCTGGTTTGCTAACTAAAGATTATATCTCTTTTTGTCTACAGACAAGAGTACAGAGTCCATCAGCCAGAAGCTTAATGAAATTATTGCTAAACAAAAAACCCTGGAGGCCCAAACTAATGCAAAAGAGATGAAGTCCCAGCTTAACCAGGCAGCGTCTAAATCTAAACCCAAACCTAAACCCAAACCCAAACCTAAATTAGTTGAGCTTAATAGTAAACAGAAAGGTTTGGCATTCCAGAACAAATTAAAAGATGTTCCCAAACCCACCTCTTCTCCCTCCAAACCGATAGACTTGAGTATTAAAAAACAAGAAAGCCTGGAAGAGACAAAAAGTGATTTGAAATCCACTCCAGCCTCAAAACTTACAGACCCTGTTAGTGGCAAAAACACCATTAAAACTCAAGATAAAGAGCAGAGCAGCATTTCTAAACCTACTCAGCCGTCCTTTAACTCCATTCCACAAAAGAAACCAGTCTCTGTCCCAAGTCCTGTAAAACATTTCCCAGTACCTCGCGAGAGAATGCGGCCAAACATTCTGTCCCGTTCTTCATCCCAGGTGATGCAAGGATCTCCCGTCAAAGAGCCTCTTTTAACTAATGGTTAGTCCAAGACAACATTTACAATACAGTACTTGTCATGTTGATTTGATTTGGTTGAAACAGATTTTTTGAGGTCATACTTTTTGATGTCTGTTGTGTGTTGTTGTTTTTTTTTCAGTGTGTATACCTCAATTAATTCCTCTGATGAATACCATGGTTCAATGCAATCAAATCATAACCATAAACAACCCGCTTCAACCGATTGGCATCACCTCAGTAGGGACACAGCAATCATCTACACCAGGTTTGTCTCTAAACAGGTCAATGATTTTTCAAAATGTCACAAAGAAAGTGATTAGATAACAGCATTTGTGTTTTTGTATTCTTTTTTTTAACTAGGTGTAGCATCTGTGTCCATAGTTCCTACAATATCTCATCCACTTAGAGTGGAAAATTCTCTTCCAGTATTGCAGCCTCAGTTAATCAAAATTACAAACAGTCCTATTAATATTAATACTCAAGGTGAGTCTCCTTGGCTGATATTGTCATAAAAATTGAATCAGATTTTCCTACATTGTTCAGTGATATTCATGTGGATAATTTATTTTACAATGCATCATTTTCAGTGGATTCTGCCAACTTTCCAAACATCGCCAATGTTATTTCTCTGGTTTCACCTGTGGAGAATCTGGTAATACCACAGAAAGTTGTGGAAGATGCTTCTTTTGCTCAGGCACAGCCAAAATCTGTCCCTGCCCCAGTGGAGAATCTCCAGAGTATCTCCGATGTTAAAATATCTAATTTGGCGGAAAGAGCAATTGTTGATGAGCCTCAACCCAATGATTTCCCAAAACTGCCTGAAGGAGGAGATGAAATCAGTGCGTCTGTTACTTCATCCAACCAAGAAGGACTGGAGAAAAAGGGTCAGAATGTCAGCAGCGACCCTGAGGATGAAAATCTGATGTCTTTGCTAGACGAACTTGTTCTTCTTAGCCAGCAGCTGAGTAATGAAGACGAAGATAAGAGAATTGTCGTGCCAGACGAGGCACAGCCATGTTCTGACAAGCAGGCGTATGCAGAGCGGGATGATGAGCGTGCTCTCAGTCCCTTGTTCCTAACTCTAGATGAAGATCTGATGTCTCCAGACTCTAAAGATGAAATTGATATCCCACCCAAAGTGGACGACTTGGTCAAAGTCATCTTCGGGTCAGATTCACCTTCGGTATCATCCGAATCTGCAGTTGCGCCATCAACAAACGTTGAAAGTCCGAATGCCCCGACGTGCAATGTTAAATGTGATGCTCCTACTCCGCCACCTCTGTTGCACATGAAGGCTGCATGTGAAGCTACTTCGGGTCAATCTGCCAATGAAGGGACCAATGTGACATGGCGGCCCATGCCTAAACTGGTTCCTCTAGGGTTAAAGCCCCAAGATGCTGTTGTAAATAAGGTGACTGGCTCTTCGACTCTCAAACTGGACTCAAATGAGCAAGATGTTAATAGAACACAACTGTGATCTACCAGTCAATGAATCAGGTTTGCTGCTGCTCACGTTTAACTTGAAGTTTTTTTTTTTTTTTTTATTTATTTCTTGTTTCCTGTGCAAGTCCTGCTGCCATGGGTACCACCTGTTGTGCCTCTGGTATATCCAAAGACATTTAGTTGATTTTGACTTTTTTTTTTTTCCAATACTCAACCTACTTGACCAGCAAGATTCTCTGCATTCTCCAACTCTTTGTGGCAATAGATGTGAAAGAAGCTCTTAACTCATCCTAACCTCCATATTGGAGCATTTGGTTTCATTCTCATTGAAGTTCATTAAAAAATACAAATAAATATTTTACTTAATCTTTAAACATAGGATTATTTCTCCCGCAGCTCCATGAAGGTCAAGCTGATTGTAATCGTTTGCTCTGGGGATTTTGGGGGATGGTTATGATTGGTTCCAGGTGACCTTTTTAGGAATAATTGAATTTGCCCAGTGACTTTTAACAGTAAAGCCATTTCATCTGTGAGTGTCTGCTAATAAGATTACACTAATGTTATTGTCTTTGCATCTCTGAAATAAACCACTGTCTATTAAATGCATCACATGAACACATGTTAAAGCAATAATAGATGTTAAGTTCCCTACAAACAGTCCCTACAAACTGTATGTTCTTGTTACAGAAAAGCTAGCTTATATACATATGTTGAGTGCCTTTCAAAAGGTTCTAATATATGCATATTGGGACGTAGAAAGGTTTCTTGTTTTAGGGAATAGTGAACCTATATAAATGGCATAGGAATTTAGGAATAAGGATCTAGTTATCCACTTGTTTGTCTTCTTTTTTGTTTGTTTTGAAAGTAATCAGTGAAAGTTGAGTAGTCAGTTTATGGCTTTTGAATGTTTTATTTGTGAAACCCTACTGGCTTAACCATATTCCCCACATCAACAGCAACATTTTTAACAATGTCTAAAGCGTTTCAAAGGGTTTTAACGCTATTGTCACATCCAGTAAGGCAACTTAAAGGGATCCTCGGTTTGAGCCTAGTCATCACTATGCAATTGTTTTGCATTAGGTTTAGCCAAGACTGGAAAAGGAAAAACTACATAGGAACCACAATGCTTCATAAAATGAGATTTGTATATGTTACACTGGTTTATTTTGTAAATTAGTTAGCTAGTTTAAAGTATGTATATTGGCTTGTATAACATTTCTTGGCTATTGTACATATGTAAAACGTATTCTTTTTGTTAGTCTGCGAACTGTGTTAAATACTTATTTTTTATATGCTATAAATCAGTGCTCTCTTAACTCCTTTGTAAAAGAGATGGATATGTCTTTTTAAGTCAATAAAATTGTGCTCATAATGTGTGAACGTGAACGTTTTAATAACACCATTTAATGACTGAGAATTATGGTTAATTAAAAAATCTTGAATATGCAAATATTATTTTTGATTGCTTAGTCTAAAATGTGCTTTTCTGAGATCGTGCATTTTTTTTTTTATTAAAATGTTTTAGTCTTAACAATTAGCATTTGGCCAAATTCTGAGATCTAATAGAAATGAGATGTACATGGACATGCTCAAGTTAAAACGCATGTGGGCATGGTTATCAGCAAATTAAAACTCAAAATATTCTAAATTTAATCTACTTAGGCTTACGATGCTTTTGGGAAACAGCCCAGGTCCATGTGTCCGTCTGTTGTCCAAAAACACCTTGAAGACTGAAGTGTTTCCTTTTGACATTTGATACAGACTTTAGAGAATTGCATAAGAATCATCAAGGTAATTGTAGGTTATCTACTAATGGTTTTTACCTTGCTCGTAAGTCCCAAGAGCAATGACCGATCTATTTCCAGGAGGGATCATCATGGTTGGTATACAGCAGTTAACTAAGAGGTGTAATCAAACCACTTTCCGTTTTGTCGAGGTAAGCTCCATTTCATTCTTTAATGTGCATTTTACTTAACATGTTGTTAGAGATACGACTGAAATAGTATTGATTTGAGCTCACCATCTAGAACAGAATGTTGCTGGATAGTTACGAATTTAGTTACTAGGGATGGGTAACTAATTTTTGTCCCTTTCTTTTCAATGAAATATAGACTAAGCATAAGAAATGTCGGCAGTACACAATTGGACAGAGAACTGCACCAACTCCAATGATATGGCTCTTCCTTTGGTTCCACACATGGACTGTCCCTCCAACCGCAAGTATGCCACCAACTTGATACCTTTTCTCTTTTACATCCTTTCAATCTTTGGAACGATTGGAAATCTATGGAGCCTCTGGGCTTGTCTGCGGTCATCCCATCCTTGGAGTATTGGGTCCATTGGTGTACTGAACCTAGCTCTGTGTGACCTTGCCTATTTGGCCTCAATGGGACCCTGGGCTGTTTACGTAAGCTCTGACTACCACTGGAAAATTGGCCGTTCGCTCTGCATTGTGATGAAAATCCTGTACTTTGTCGGGTTGACGTCTAGTACCATGTTCATCTGCGCCATAAGCAGCGACCGCTTCCTTGCAATCGTCTTCCCTCTGGAGTCCCGGATGATCCGCACCCCTCGGAACACTGCACTGGTTTCGCTTCTACTCTGGGCCATCACTGCCCTCTTTATCTACTTCAGTTATCCTAACATTTTCTATGCGGTCAGGAAAGATGGCATCCATGTGTGTGGAGCGGTGGTGATCTCGAAGTTCAGGACCTCTGAAGCAACCTACAATCTCATGTCCTACTACTCCATTCAGGTTTCTGTCCCACTGCTCCTCATCATTCCTGCCTATGTGAAGATCATTTCCAAGATGAAGCAGTCGAGGCAGCAGTGGGGCCAAGGCAACATGCAAGGCCTGGACAAGACCATCTGGCTGATTGCCATTTTCATTGCCAACTTCCTGGTGTGTTGGGTGCCAGGACAGCTGCTCTACATCATTGCCTGTATAATTTTCTTCTCTTTGGATCACTGCAAAAATGCTTGTTGGGTTGCATGGGTGGTCAACCTGCTCTCTGAAGTCTCTCAAATACTGTACTGTCTCAATGCATGTCTTGATCCTTTAATTTTTCATATGCAGCGTGGGCATGGTGAATTTTCTCCTGTGGTTGTGTTGGGAAACTGGGCTAGAAAGTTCTTACAGGTAGGTAAGAAACGAAATTTGGGCGGGCCTTCGCATGAACCTACCAGTGTGATCCAACTTCAAAAACAGAACAGAAATAATGCAGAATAATAAAAAAATTAAAAAATAATATTTTTCACCTACAAATATCTAGTTGCACAATTGTGAATTGATGCATTGAATGTCTTCAAATATAAATGTAAGATTTTTCTTGCTGATGTAGTTTGTTATAAATAAAATGTGTATGACTTTGTGGAAAAGCAAGGAAATAATCTATTTTGTATCTGTGTATGTCTTACTCAGTTTCAAATGAGTTATATTAATCTAAATCGAAATTGTTCTTAAGTCGGCCATACACATTATGTGCTAGTCAGGTTCACAGTTGAATAAAACAAAAATTACCTAAAGTAAACCCAAAGGTATAGGCTACTACTTAGCATCACTAGATGGCAGACTTGATGTGGAGAAAATAGGTATAGGCTACTCAATAATTCAGTCCAACTTCATGTTAACACTAAATTACCTTTACGTTAACATTTGAGATTCATTTGAGACTTTTTCTTTTTTTATGTTTAGGTAATAATGAAGTGATAAATCTATTTTTAAACAGTTGCTTATGTCATGCAATCACTGCTATGCATTCTGAATGAATTTACCAGGCAATAAATAGCCTACATGACATCTCTTTGTTGTCTTTCCTCCTTGGAAAAATGTAGCCTATATTACGAAGTTTCATGTCCATTGAAGGCTACATGGGATTACAGAATGGCGTTCGGTCTAGACTGGAGAATTGCAGTCGTGTTACATTGGAACCATTGCTGTAAAATGCAGATAGTAGGATACTGGTAAATGTGGTCTTGCACTTAAAGTGGATTTCCCACATGGGGGAAATTAAGATAATAATGCCACAATTCTCTGTTCTACTGTTCCATTATTTGCAAACATCAAAATAAACACTTTGCCTTAAGTAAATGAATTGTCTACACCTTAGGGAAACACTGCAGTGTCACGTATAAACAGTTTAATCCACCTAGTAGTAATGCCATGCGTGATACTATGGCTAAGGCCGGTCTTAATATTAATTAGGTCAAGCACGAGTTAATTCCTAACCAGGGGCGTGTCTAGAGCATTTTTAGTGGGGGGGCCATGCTGGGGCACTGCCTCCAAATGGGGTGGCCACCAGTGACCAAAAAAAAAAAGCTAAATTCTACAGTATAATACATAAATCCTATTGATTTGTATTATTTTTTTAACTTGAATAAAGTTACTTGTAAACAAATGTAGTAATAAAGCACATTTTTTGATTAATTTAGTTTTGGCATCCCTGTCCATTAAGTTAAATTTGAGAGCCAGTGTTTATTATTTTTAGTGTTTTTATAAAACTAACAAGTTTATAAAATAAAAGCAATTTTAATAATGAGCAATTTTAAAACCCTAGAAGCAGAAACAAGGTCAACTATTTTCTTTTAATTAGTTTTGCCATTACAATATACAGTAGTTTTATTCACAATCTCTTTCAAATAATAATAATTAATCACTGTCTGTCTGGCCTGTTGATTCCTTGCTGGCTGATTCTGTTCCAGTGACAATTTTTCTTGCTGCCTGACATTTTCTTCAGTTGCTTCTGCCTCACACTTGTGTTTTTTTTTTTTGTTTTTTTTTTTTTTTTTTTAAAGAAACTCCCTATATCTTTACTTCTTTTCATGGCTTGGCACTGCTCTCTTCCCTGCCTTCAAAAAAGAAACACTTATGTTTGTCTGTTATTCTCAATATCAACAAAAACAATTCAAATTGTGAATGAAATGCACAGAATGCATCCATGTCATTTCTAGGGCTGTCATTTCACGTAGAAATTACTAAGTTAGGACTCACAATTTAACTGACTATCTAACTGTCTTACTCTCATGCATTAACAAGTAACGTACGTGTCACCAGACAATTATTATAATGTGGTCACTCACTGTCACAAAATAAACTGATACAAAATATGCAAAATCACCATGACAGTGTTTATTAATTTGTTTGATAGCGCCCAGCGTATTATACTTTTATTGTGTTTTATTAAACTTTGACTGAACTAGGGATGGGCATTCGATTAAATTTTCTTAGTCGATCGTCGGAAGAATTAACGATCGACTATCGATTAATCATTAATATTTTTATATTCAAATTTATTATATTTCACTTTTTATAAATTAAAAATGCAATGAAAATACAAAAATAAAGCGTGTTTTTCCTCGATTAGATCTTTATTACAAGATGATCAACTTGTGGCAGTTAAACTGGGCGTTTGGTTAGGCTAAATTTGAAGATATAATAACATTTAGATCTGACAGGTTTTGTCAACATGAAACTCATAAGGCACGGAGTCGAGAAAGGGTGAGAGAGATTAGCCTACCTGACAATCAATTAGGCTAGGCTACTTTCTATGGGCTACTTTAAGCTTCATAAAAAATAACTCGCATACAACTTCTGCTCCAGTCTACTGATTTTTGTTGAGAAAGATAAGCATGTTGATGACATGATCTGGGGTCAGACGCGACCGCAACCTGTATGGTGACCCTCAAGCCTTGTTTACACTTTCGCCTGCCACTTCAGCGCGTGAGCGCGAGTCTCTGCAGACTGCGCGTGCTTGCGGACGCGTCGAGTGTAAACAAATGCTTCAGTCCAGCCGCTGAAAACACCGCTCTGATGAGGGGACTGACGTTGCCGGGATGCACAGCTACCTTCGCGCTAACATGACCAGCCCGGCGAACACGTTCACTTTCCGCTCACACTACGCAACGCAGCATTAGTAATAATATGTTGACCGTTGTTTCTCTGGCGCTGCACTTCTTTGAATCACAAACTTCCGTAGAGTCTATAAACTGTTTGGCCGTAAAATGAACCAATCACAAGACATCTTATAGGGGGGGCACCTGGGGTGGCCAATCGAATTTCAGGGGGGGCCGGTGCCCCCCCTGGCCACCACGTGGACCCGCCCCTAACCTCACGGGGTTTCAACGTACGTCATCTCATTAATATTAAGAAGTCAAGCATTCCCCCACAGCAAAGCTCGTTAATTGGCCAGTTGCCTAGCGTCCGCCTCCCGACGTCAGCGTTTCAGCCAATCATAAAATTGACAGAACAAACTCGCATTCTGCAATTAATATTCATGAGCCTGGCCTTTACAGTAGTAGGATTTGTAAATACACACACTGTACCGGTGAAGGTATCACGGCTGGAGGTGATTCGCGGAGCTTTCAGACCGTCAAACTGCTGTCTCTCACACGAAACATGGTCCATTTTAACAAATGGACGTTAGAGAGGAGCGCGTCTCTCACCGGCAGGACAACCACAGTGGATTTATCGCGATGACGGTTCCGGTGGATTGGTTTAGTATTATGAAATAGAAGGCTTTGATCAGACCATGGCTTACTTTAAACGCGTATATTTTAATTGATCATCAGCTGTGACAGTAGGGCAAAGGGCTTCCGCTTGTTTGTTGGGAAACGTTGATTCAAGAGCACGCCAAATCAAGATGACAGTGGAAAATGCAACTATCAAAAGTCGGCTTAAAAATCTGCTCCGGTCGCCTTCCATCAAATTGAGAAGAAGTAAAGCTGGGATCAACAAAGAGAATCTCAGTAATAAGGTACAGTGCGTTTACTGTATGACACGAAGCATGTGTGGAATCTGTATCTGCAGTTGCCTGGAAATGTATCATATCATGTATCGCTGCGATTTTCTGCAGTTTAATGCAAGGCGTCAGTGAATTGACACTAATATATCAGATTTTTTCCAGGGTTTGTTATGTAAACTTGTAAAGGCATACTGTGGCTCTCAGTACAATGCAACAGTAAGAAGGCTGTAAAATGCACTGACCTATATTTGCCACATGTCACAAATCATTTCAATCCCTGTTAAAGTCATGCAGGGAAATATAATGCACAATCATATAATATAATAAATGAATACATATCAAGCATTGGGAATAAATTAAACAAATATACATTGGGATTTACAGTAACCTTAATCACTCATCTGTTTTAAACAGTCAGTATAATATAATATTGGGTGCTTTTTCAGTTTAGAGCTTCATTTTTAGGACACATTTTATTTAAAATAATTATATTATATTATAATAATTTGAAGCAATTGTAAAATGCATGTTGTGTAAATATAATGCACTAGGATATGATATAAAAAGATGTGGATTCATGGATTTAGATAGTACTTCTAGGTTTACCAACTCAAACTCTAAACTTGTCTGTGTTTCAATCTAAGTGCTTTGTATGCACGCATCTCTTACATACAAGTGTGCAATGTATAATAATAAGTATTTATTATTCTTTTAGCATTCACCCCAGTCCTGCTGTAAATTTGTGAACTGTTCTTTTGTTCTTGTTATTGTAACTGTAACTATTATTGAATTGCAGTAAAGATTCCTGACTGTTGCATTCCATTCAGATGGCCTGTTTACTGCTGCAGACCCTTGGGTGACTGACTGTACTTCCCTTTCATGCACAGGAGTCCCTGTGACTGTGTGATTGTTAAGAGGAGACCGTTTTGCAACTGAGAAGAATGCCTTAAATTACTCTGAGACCTAAGCTGCATATGATTTGTTGCTCATAAATTAAACACTGTTGTTCGCACTACCACATGTTCAGTAACCAAATCCATATCTGTGTGGAATGTTCCACTTGTGTGTATTTTGGTGTTGTTGTCTGAGGTTATTGCTCAACTTTAGAGTTATGTCCACACTCTAAAAAATGCTGGGTTGTTTTAACCCAATTTTGGGTCAAATATGGACAAACCCAGCCATTAGTTTACATTTTTAAATTACATTTGTAACCCAATGGCTGGGTTAAAACAACCCAGAATTTTTATTAGAGTGCATAACATATCAAACTTCACTGTTTGTACTACAGAATTGAATGATGCCTCAGACTGTGTGGTTTGTGGAGGAGATTTTACCTCCTCTATTTCTTGTGTGATCAGATGCTTTTCTCTTGGCCAGTGGCGAATTTTGTGAGAAAATTACGTACTCTTACAATGGAGGCACCCAAGGCTATTGTACAGTAGGACCAGAATATATACCAAGCAATTTAAAAAAAAAATGCATGTTACTGAATGTTTGCAAAGCACTGCAATATTATAAAGACAAGACTAGTTTAATGTTGCATTGATCAGAAAAGACATTCTACAAATAATGGGCCTCAAATACATCCAATTTCAAGCATTAAACATGCAATTCATCATTAAAAAACATAATTAGAGTGGTACTATCAGAGTTTGTGGTGATCACTGCTCCAGAGAAAATATATTATGCTACCATTTAAGTGTTCTGCAAAATACTCTGTCAAGGAGATCTCTCTCTCTCTCTCTCTCTCTGCCTAAAGCAGTTGAGGAATCTCTAGTGTCAGAGGAATCTTTGGAGGCAAACAAAGAGATCTGAGTTTTTTGTTAGACCATTTCATATCAGTTCAGCTTTTAGACTGGGTTCTGTTTTCCAAGGTTTACACGCTGCATCGAAATCAAAGCCATTCCTCCAGGTGCTGTGCAGTTCATTGACTTCTGGCTCAAGGTCTTTGCCTTTCTCTGAGGATTCATTCGACATACAGCGATTGCAAAAAAAAAAAAAAAAGTTTCTGGTAAAAGTGCACGATATAGCCGTTGGTCCAGAAATTCTCATGAGAGATGCTGAATGCGAAATGGCTTAAAAACCGCATGCATTTGAAAACTAGATCTTTTTCTGTTGTTCCAGCACTAATATACAGTGGATATATGGAGGTCTGTCAAAGCATCTTTGGAAAGATGATAAATCAAACCAACAACCTCCAATTACAGCCCTTTTTATATCGGCATGTTCAGCACAAATTGTGGTAGTGCATTCAGCTTACAGTAGGATAATAAATGTACATACGTAGCATCTTCAACTTTGCCTTATAGGCTTCTTGAAACCTGCATTTTTGAAGGATAAAACTGCAATAAATGGAAATACAACCCATATAGTGGGGGAATGGTCTAAGATGTCAGAATTAGAGGAGACCACTTCATAAGCCAGGTGTTGTTCCTCTCATTTCTCCATTGTCCTGTACTTAAAGTGGCATGTGATTGATGTGAGAGTGTTCTCTGCTGGGATGTGACCATGCTTGTTTTGAAGAGGTGGTCTGGCAGAGGTTTTAATGCATAGAAATAAAGGTTGTTGAACAGACAGGTGCAGATTTTTTGTATGTGGTGTATTGTATTGCACTTAAAACATTGAAAACTAAACACCTAGTGCATGTAGATACCTTCATTTTGAATGACACTATTATGTGTTCAATCTGGTACAGATGTTATCCAATCTTTAATTTTAAAGCAACAACTAATTCCAGGCCGTTTCACCAAATTTGTGCATGTTATTTATTACATACTCAGTGCGTATGGAGTTGTAATGGACGCTGTAATGGAAATCCTATTGAAACAATAATACATTTTCGTACGTTGTTTAGACATTTTTCTGTTGGTGTATTTTAGCCTGATTTCTGGAATCATGTACTTCATCAGTGTGTATTTTTTTATTTGATATTGTCTTTGTTTCTTCTCTTTTGCGTGTGTATTGATTGTTTTTAGGGTGACTTTTTAACATTCTGTCAGTCAAAAATAGCGTTTGTTAAATCCTGGCACATTTACATCTATGTTTTTTAATGTGCACTGCTCCTGTAAAAAAATTAATAAAAAAAAAGTACAACTCGCATGATAAGATTATGAAATAGCCACCTCGTAAAATAGTTGTTTTCCCATGAGATTGTGTTATTATTATTATTGGGTTGTTAGTAGAGCCCGACCGATAAAGGATTTTGACGTCCGATACCGATACAAATATTTATTGGTTTTAAAATCCGATATTCCGATATATCGGCCGATATTTTTTTTTTTTTAATTATTATTTCAGAAACGTGCAACAAATTGTAAAACATACATTTTCAATATAACAGGCCAAGGAGAGATGATGCATCTCATTGCTATAACTGTCACGTGCTATTAAAGAAATACTTCAGTCACATTGTCAAAAGTTAAAAGGACTACTACACTATAACAATGTAACGTAACTATTTCTAGCTAATTCCGCTTCACTCTCGGCTTATTTATCAGCAGCAAAACTGGACATGATAGTCACAAATTTTGTCATGCTTATTTGAGTTAAGAGAACTGATGGAGATGTTCTTTTAATTGTTATTCAAGCAATGTATGTATCGTGACCAACTCAACGAGTGTTGCCAACAGGGACAGTGTAGAGTGCCCTCTGGTGGACAAACTATATAACTCCAACACTCATGACATGGTTCAAGCGTGTTTCCTCCATTTTTTATTTTTATTTTATTTTTTAAATATTCATTTATCGGCCATTATAACTGCCTATACCGATAGTTTGGAAAATGCCTAATATCGGCCGATAATATCGGGCTGCCGATATATCGGTCTGGCTCTAGTTGTTCACGTTGTGTGACATTTAAAGACTCTTGTAACTCTTTTAAGGATCTTGTAATTCACATCATAACTTTTATTATTTCTCATTTTCCATGTAATTCCACAGGTGACGTTGGAAAAAGTTCTGGGAATCACTTCCGCTGGGAGTCGTGCTTTGGCATGTGATCCACACTCAGGACTGGTTGCCTACCCAGCCGGGTGAGTAACTTAGTTTTATAGACATTTTTAGCAGTTTTATGTGACACACACTTAAATAACAAGGCTATGTGAATGTTGTCAATGGAATGATGATATGACCGTGAGTCAGACCTCACCGTGGAGGTATTCACATAAAGTAGAGACTATAGGGAGGAAAAGGAGAGAGATAACAGTCTGATAACAAATGATTGCTCTCAGGGGGAAATTAGGTGTGGTACAAACAGGAAGTTCTGGATCTGAAAGAGGATTTTGAGTGTGTGCTTCAGACAGGGCCTATAAGCTACTGAGGGCTAGTCTAGCATTATACAGAAACATTTCAGCTCTCAAAACATCCTGTAGGTGCTCAGTTCTCTCTCCAAATCATGAATGCAGCTTGATTTTAGGATATTTTTGCCATCCAAATGGATTGAATTAGAGCAGTGGCCAAAAATAATTTCTTTGGCAGGTTTTATTTATTTATCTTGTGCATCTGGCCTTGTGATTCACATTCTTCCACTTTGCATTATTCCACTCACATTTTTTTGTACAAAAGCAAATAGCAATACAACAGTATTGTTTAAAAATACCATGTTCATATCATAATAATGCCATGGTGCATGGATAAGGCGTATCATACAGTTATCTTGTGAAATGCACGGATAAGCAAATGGTAAACGTGTACACAGAGGCTTTAATCGATTCCAGACGATGAATAAGGGTCTTATCAAGCGAAACAATCGCTCATTTAAAAAAAAATAAAATAAAGTTTAAGTTTCATAAGCTCAAATGGTTGCCTTGCTCTGCCGCGTTTGTGACTCTCCTATTCGAACTCTTTTTCCGAGTTAAGTCGTTCATTTCGTTCGTTGAATGAACCAATTGACACTAAAAAAGATTTGTTCATTTTGAAAAAAGTTAACTAGGCCTACTCCTTTAATTTCACATTTGATTATTACATTTTTTTTGTTGTTGTAGGCTATTACTTATGTGATTACCACTGCTAGTACATCTTCCTGAAATACTTAAAGGAGCAGTCTGTAAAAATGACGGCTAGTGGTCGAAATAGGTACTGCAGTCCGAATTCATAATATCGGAGATCGCTGTTTCCCCCGCCCCCTCCTCCTCAGGCTTGACGCTCATGGGGGTCGCCAGTTTAAGGACACGTACCACACCTAACATTAGTTTTTGATAAAGTATCGATAATTGTGAAATTTCTCTGATATTTATAATGACTCGTATCTTGAAATAAGACTTTGATCGTATCGCCCACCAATGATCGTGATTAAGATTTTTGCCATAATCGAAAAGCCCTAGTTCCAAAGCTTTTGTCAGTGGTTCTCCAGCAATGCTGCCTTTGTATAGTATATAAAGAAGAAAAACCTTCCTCTCTTCCATCACATGGTACTTGTAATCTGATTAACTCGTTAAGTTCTAGTGCTCTGAACTAAATTCTTAACTCTCACTTGCAACTTGTCACTCTTCTAATGTGGAGGAAAAGTTTGGAAATTAAGTTATCAATATACTGTATGTGCATAATACATACACTATAATTTAAAAGTTTGGGGTCAGTAAGATGTTATGTTATGAAAAAATGTTAAAGTGATAAAAAGTTAAAGTGATTTTTATTCTCAAACTTTTTTTTCATCAAAGACTCCTGGAAAACATACATCATGGTTTCCACAAACAAAATTTGCTGGACAGCTGTTTTCAACATTGATGACAATATTAAGATATTTTTCGAGATCACCAAATCAGCATATTAGAATAATTAAAAAAAAAATTCTTACAGATCCCAAACCTTTGAACAGCAGTATATATTTATAAAACCAATATTTATGAATGTGTGTGGCAATAGTATTGATTCATTTAGTAGCTAGAACATATCAATCGTTCTCTTCATAGATCGTTGTGAAATGATGTTTAAATCACTTCATAGTGATGTAGTAAATCACTTCTTAGGCCGTTTGTCCACAGTCCATCAAAGTGTTTTTCCACGCGCCTGGCGTATGTTTTCAATTGTTTTCAATGGGAGCGCCGCGTTTTTTTTAAACGCCATGAGCATAATAAGGCGCTGAGCGTTTTTTTTCACGCTGAAGCGCCGAGCGCCCAGTGTTTTTTTACTGGTCGCTGGGAGTTGAAAAATGTTCAACTTTGGATAAAACGCAGCGCTCATCACTTTCACTTTTTACCCAGTCGTCCAATCACAGTGGAGGAGGGGCGGGACTAATACCACACCGACCAACTGTCACAGCATTCAACTGCTGCGGATATATGCTGTATCATAGCAACGAAACGTCTCAACGGAAAAAACCGCTGCGCTGCCAAAACGCTCTCAAGCGCCCAAAGCACGCCGTCTTCAGCAGAGCGTCTAGCGTTTTCAGCTGGCTAAAAACGCTTTGGTGGACACACGGCCTTAGTCTGCCCAGGAACATGAACATGTATTAAGAAAGATAATACTGTTCATTTTGATTTCATATTTTGCCTCTCAAGCTTTGTTTGCTGGCCAACCCTTAAATTTCCCATTGGAAAACAAGGCTGTCAGGGATAGAAGTGCAATCCATTCAGCATGATGTATTGTTTTATCCATGGGTGTTGATCGCTCTGCTGATGAAACATTAAAAAAATGCATTTTTTTTATGAAAAATTAGACTTGACTGACATGAACCTTAAAGGGTTAGTTCACCCAAAAATGAAAATGAAGTCATTAATTACTCACCCCCATGCTGTACCAACCCCGCAAGACCTTCGTTCATCTTTAGAACACTAATGAAGATATATTTGATTAAATTTGAGAGGTGGATCACTCTTCCATAGGCTGCCTAAGGGAATGAAACTTGACGGCCCAGAAAGTCATTGAAGAAAACGTTTAAATATTCCATGTGACGACAGTGGCTCAACTATAAGTTTATCAAGCAACGAGAATACTTTTTGTGCGAAAAAACAAAACAAAAATAACAACTTTATTGACGACTTCCTTGTGGGCCTGAGACAAGAGTTCAAGAGATTTCCACGACGCATACCCGAGAACTGCGATCTTCTTCAACTCCGTCTAATTCAGTTCTCGCGCATGCGTCGTGGAAATCTCTTGAACTCTCGTCTCAGGCCTACAAGGAAGAAAAGGAATAGTCGAATAAAGTCGTAATTTTTGTTGATGTTTTTCGCACCAAAAGTATTTTCGTCGCTTGATAAACTTATAGTTGAGCAACTGTAGTCGCATGGAATATTTAAAAGTTTTCTTCAATGACTTTCTGGGCCATCAAGTTTCGATCTGCCTATGTTTTAGTGATCCACCTCTCAAATTTAATCAAATATATCTTCATTAGTGTTCTAAAGATGAACAAATATCTTAAGGGGTTGGTACAGCATGGGGGTGAGTAATTAATGACTTCATTTTCATTTTTGGGTGAGCTATCCCTTTAAGACTGTATGACATATAAGCTGTACTACTATCTGCAATCCATTGACTTCAGTATAGGAAACTAGAAGCGCTCTTCTTATTTTTAAGGCTCACACAGCTCCTATAACAAACTCCACCCTATGCTAGGTCAGCAGTTTGATTTGAGCCAAGCGAGCATTTGGTGCAGATGTCTTGGCTTGCTATAGGTTGGGAAATTAGTGCAGGCTTATGCAGCTGTCACAGATAAACAGACCCCACATGTACAGTATATTAGATACCAAGCTGGTTCTCTAAGAGGGGCGTGAAACGCTTTTTTTATTGGATGAAGACTGTGCTGTTGCTGTAAACAAATGTGATGTTATCCGAGGTTAAGTTTTATGGTGCTGTTGTTCAATCGAGTGCATGTGCACATAAGTAGATCCTGGAAATAAAAAGTTACCAAGCCTGCTGTGCTTGATATTCCCCAGGGGTATGTTGTTCTGATTTAACCATGACCTCGAATGTCATCTCCCTATAAGAAGGTCAAAGTGCATTTGATAAAAAAATAAATAAAATATTGGATTATTAATATTAGAGTGACTCGATGGTGAAATTTGAATGTATTTTCAGGTCTGAAAGAGTTAACTTCATCTGGACTCTACCATATTAATTAATTAAAGATGAAGGTTTCTTCAGGGAGCTGTCCTGTTTTCATGAATCTTACCTAAATGAGCACATTTGTTTGTTAAGGATATTTTGGTTCCATCTGAATGATCTCAGTTTGGTATTTTAATAAAATAAAAATGTTTATCTAATGTTGGAAACTACTGGCCAGTATGATATAAGATTTGGGTTATTTGTGCAGAACCATAATTGGTGCCAATTAGTTTGGTTATTTATTAAAGGAGAACTCCGGCGAACAATGAACCTTTGGTCTAATAAAACATCGGTACATAGTCAACCGTTCTCTGAAATTTGTTTTCATGATAATCGAATGTAAAGAGTTTATCTCTAAAAACTGTTTAGCGTATAATGCTAGTACTGGGGGCATTGACTAAGTAAAAAGAAATCGCTAGTTTATACCACTAACAAGGCTCAAAATAGCCCCACACTAACGCAGTAACATAATGAGGCTCCATACATACAAAACGAAGCATTGAGAACTTTGTAAGTGTACAGACCGTTTAATAAGAAGATATTTTATGAAGACAGTTCACTTCGCGTATACAGACAGGAGCCATCTTAAAAAATAGTCTCGATAAGTCGAACCACGGCTTGGCTAACGGCCGTGTTGAAGTAGGCGTTGATCTTCTTCTGCGGGGGTGGTGTTTTATCCTCTTTGTCGTCATAGTTCCCCACTTTGAAAAACGAGTCATTTGCTGAGCCTGGTGTCAATAAAAGCTTTTATTGGACTAACAAGGACGTTCTCAGTTCTGAAACTTACAGGATATTCTTATAATATGATGACCTCTTAGATGTCAAAAGCTCAAGGAAATTTAGATTTCTCAGTTCATCACCCCTTTAAATAAAAGCTTATTTCCTCATTGGATCCTCAATTTAGGTCCCCGCGGTGACACGAGTCCCCATATGTAAGTTATTTAGGTTGAAGTCCCAATCGAGATAGAAAAACAAACACACACACACACAC